CGCAGCTGTCATCTGCAATCTGGCAGAAGTTCAAGGGCTTCTTGAAGCAACAAACTGCCCTCTTTCTCAGGGTCAAAGGGTAAATCCAACAAGTAGCTGCACACCGTTTGCCGACTTCTCGGTGAGACATGCACTCACCTTCTTCAGGGTCGAAGAGGAAGTCAATAGAAATCTGGGGCCTGATTATTGCTATTTGGTTGGCTTACTCTCAGACATAGAGTCAGCATGTTCCTCCGAAACGGCTCTGAACTTTCATGGGGTTTAAGGGCGTTACAACTCAGATTATTGTATTATTATTTTTATTTTAAAAATATGTCCTAGAACCAGGGCTCCAGCACTTACTCACTTACTTACTTACTTACGTGTTATTTTTTATAGCTAGTGGGGTGGGACTAAGTCCCTTGAACTGCGGCCACTTCTGGCCTATTGTACCAGCCCCAGATGATAGGTGAGGGTGATTGTGGAGCAATTGGTGGAATGAAGATTGGCAGGGGAAACCGAAGTAGTCGGAGAAAACCTGCCCTAGCGTCACTCTGTCCACCACAAATCTCACTTGACCAGAACCCGGACCGCCACCGAAACGTCGGTTACCACTATATCTACACGGTGCCACATTATAACCGACGTTCGTTCTGCAAATGCGATGTTATGACTTCGTGAGTGGCTCTCTTTAAGGCAATACTCGTAACTGCCCCTAGATCACTTTCCGTATCTCAGAGCGTAGTCAATACGTTCGAACCCCGAGCCATACCTCATCATTAGCTTGAAGCAGTACGACACAGGATGAGGTGGGCAAGGAATCCAGAGACTCTTCCGCCTAAAGGAGCAAAACGAAGATTTCTTGTGATAAAACAAACCGTATATTTTCGCATTAAGATTAAAGTATTGCGGGATGCTACGTCATTCGTTCTGGTACATATGTACCAAAGCTTCGGAAGAAAATGCTGTGTCCATCTTAATAACACAAGACGAAGTATCTTTAACATTTTATGCGGACACAATTTAAAAAAATTGTAACATGTATATCCGTTGTTAGGGAACAGCTAGGTAAACACGTTCCCGCGAAGAAAAATTCTTGAACAACAATAGAAAACGGGCATTCCATTGCTAGGCAAAGAGCAGTAAACAATTTTCTTGAGCAACAGAGACCGTGCTTTCTATGTGATCCGTGTCGTGGCTATATAAGAAGCAGTGAAGACTGTTTCAGAGGATTCGTCAGGAAGACGTCGTTCAAGACAGTTCAGTAGTTGACGTGTTAACCTTGAGAGTGTTATAATTGTTTGCGTGTTATAGGTACAGCAGTCGTGAAAGTGTAATAACGAATTGTGGTTACGATGTGTGAAATTATCTAAAATATGGGAGTATCCGGAACCCGTTATTTACTGTCGCTTTAAGAGGATACACGTGACAACATCAATATTTGTGGATTCAATGTAAAGAAAGAAAGAAACAACTATTAAATGGAAGAAAATGTTTCTGTAACATACACGTGTAAACCTAAATATATATAATGTATAAGAATTACATGAATAAAGAAAGTCTGCGATGCTCTTAAAATCCAGATCAGGTTTCAAAATTAGCAGAATTGGAAGGAAATGCTGTCAATACGAATTAATAATCAAACAGGAACAATGATTTGCAGTTTTCCTGTCACAAACTGGGAAGACCGGCCGAGTATAATTTGCAGAATCACATTAACTCGTGAGACAATCTGCGGTTTGTACGGAGCGTTCTGAGTTGGAAGAAAGACGAAAAAAAATGCGAGGTTGGCAATGGTTTCAAGATTTTAGGGAATGAGATAGGGGTATGTCAGTCTAAAGCAAACTGATCAATCACTGAGGAATAAAACGGGGAAATATATAAAAGACGTGCAGGGGAAAAACGCAGAGATTTGTAGCATGTGCTTGTACATCACGTTACCAACTTACTTACTTATGGAGCTGAGCCCTTCTTGAGGAGAAGCCAAATCTGCAGCTACTCAAGAATTTCCCAGCATTTTATGGAACCTGAAAGTTCATTACCGTGTTCACAAGAACCCTCCACTGGTCCATATCCTGAGCTAGATCTATCCAATCCATGCCATCCCATCATATCTATCAAGTTACCAACAGAATTCCAAATTAACCCAGCTTTCTTATTTACCTACGAACCTATTTATATGTATACGCACATGTCAGTGTCTACTTCTGTCCATCCGTCTGTCAGTCCATCCATACAGAGACTGCTTTGTTAGAAAATGTGTGCCACTGTTCACGTTAGTTTCCTCAGAATTTTTAAGAAACTTATCAATCTTCATGACGTTTCGTATGGACTTTATGCCACTGGAAAACTAGTGAGTATTTTATTGAAAAGCAAGTGATTTAATTTTAATAAAGGACTTTCTTTATTTCCTTTTAAAATTTTTCCGATACTGTGTTCTATTAGTAGTTAGTACTGCGCGCGTGCAAGTCCTTGTGTGTGTATATTGTGATGTATCGACCAGTTGCTAGGCAACGACTCAGTATAAGCGTTCCAGAAAACACACAAAAATAGGAGCCGTGTTCCCTGTGTATTATGCTACAACGCGTTGCTAGGTAACACAACGATACTGACCAGAGAAGGTGAAGTTTTCTGTGGTGTCCGACCCGAGGCTATACAACAAAAATCTATTTGCAGCTAGGGAGATTAGAGTAGAGAATTGGAATTGCGAGTTCAGAAGCTGCAGGAGTACAGAACAGGAGCCAGGAGAGAACTGAGTCGAGTCTTTGGAACTGGCAGCTGCAGAAATGGCAAGAAGAGACTCAGACTCTGCCAAGAAGACGTCATACGTGAGTTGAAGTGACAGTGACAGTGTGATAAATCCGTTGCCAGGGTACGACTAGTGAAAACTGAGTACCTTAGAGCGTGTGCAACGGTGAAATGAAAGTGTGTAGAATAGCGATAGTGTTATGTTTACCTGTAGTCTCGAACTGTGTAAATAACTCCAATAATCCAGGCCAGAACCCGCTATTGTTAGTCACGGATACTCTGTTCTTCTCCTTACAAACACGTACATGTTTACCAATTGAACTTTCGACTGACAGGTATGTTTCTATAGGTTGATCAATAGTCCTTGAGCTCCAAAAGATAAATAAAATATTGTCATTAGAACGGAGGAGGGCCAAGCGGTAGCACAGTTGGTTTGACATTCAAAACACGATTTATTTTGAACTAAAAGTCACCATGAAGTTAACCAAATGATAACACGAAGGAGTCCGCAGTGTTTTCAAACTTGTTGCCTTATTGAACAGTCTCATCTGACCATTTTATCTGCACACATCACGAAACTATGCGGACAGACTTTCTTTCCTGCATGTGCTGTCTTATGGAAATATTTTGCCTGCATGAAGACACATGACTATCTCGCAGGACTGTTTTATAAAACCATCTCGTCATCGATTCACAGAGACACACATTCAGTGGTTCATCTCATCGGACGGTAGTATCAATCCTCTTTAATGGACCACATTATCGACCGGTTCTCCAGCAGTTTGTGTCAAACAAGTATCCCCCCTCCTCCTCCCCCACTGTCATGGAATTTCTCCCTGTCACTGTTCAAATGGAAT